CTTGCTCGCGCCATAAGCGGCTGCGATGGGTTCGCCGCGGTAGGCGCCGCGAGACGAGACAAAGACGACAGCGCCGCCGCGCCCGTTCTCGCGACCGCGCTTCCGAAGGCAAAGGCAAGCTCGGCGGGCGCTGCAAGGTTGGTGCGAAGCACGCGCTCAAACGACGAAGACCAGTCCGCCGCAGATGTTGTCTCGACTGGATGTTCCTCATAGACACCGTGGTTGATTATCATGCAGTCCAATGCCTCGCCGTAATCGCTAACGGCCGCCATCGCGTCCGCCACGAGCTTCCCCGGCGCACCCGCCTCGTCGAGTGCAGACTGGATGATCGCGTGGCCGGTCCCAGGAAGCGACTCGCGAACCGCCTCTGCCTGACGCTGATCACTTCGAAAGTGTACCAGGACGCGGTCGCCATTGGCCGCGAACCGTTGGCAGCACGCGGCGCCGATTCCGCGGGCGCCGCCGGTGACGAGGACGGTGCGGCGCCGCGGTGAATCCGACGCCGTCGAGGCGAGGAGGAGGCCGCAGAGCGCGAGCAGGGACATTTTTACACAAAATAATGCCGCGCGTATTATGATCGGCGCTTTTCTTTCCCTAGGGTGGGCGGCTAGCGCATCACACCCCTCTCCTTAAAATCCCTGTGTGGTGGCGGCGTGCCGTCCTCATCCTGTTTTTGTGTTTTCTTTCTTTGTTTATTTTTTTTTAAGAGGAGTTGCGAGTGAGTAGTGAAGTAGTCAGTCGTGCTAGTGTGCGCCAATCCACGTCGGAAAAAAGGAGAATTCTGGCGGACAGTGTCAGGAGACGGAACACGGAGGAGCTGTATAGGTCACTAGAGACCCACACCATCGCTACATCACCACAACCACCAAGTCGGATACAAGTCGATGACAATGTGCGCGGCAGGGCAAACCAAACATGAGACGGTTACACAAGGACGGTCAGGCTACGGTCAGGAAGTAGGTTTGAGTTCACACTCTCCAACACTCCCCCATTGTCTCCGCAGTCTTCATGAATGAGGATGCGGCAGACAACAACAGCAGAGTGTGAATGTGTCTGAGCGTAGGTATGCCGGTTACCCGCCGGCGTCTCGCGGGGCTGGCTAAGCGTCCAACCTTGCGTCTTCGCGAAGGATGGTCTTGCTTGTTGGCAAG